TCGTGGGGATCAAGAAAATGTCGACCGAGCCAACCCAACCCCATTACAACCCAATCCCATCCCCCTTCCAACCCATTCCAACACAACCCAACCCATTCCAATCCATCCAATCTGAACCCAACCAAAACCCAACCCCATCCCAACCCCATCCCAACCCGCCTTGCAGTTCACAAGCTTTTGTGAGGCGACTGCTTGAACAGGCTCGGAAGCTGACAACAAAAAAGCGAGTCCCCGCCACAAGGTGATGCTACCTCGGGAAAGTCCTGACAACTTACCACACCAGGGCCTGGAGAACTTTCCAAATTGTCCGGTGCTCGAGCCAGTTTACGGCGTAATACCGTTCCACAGTATTCATCTTTACAATGGACAGACAGAACTTGGTCTTTCTTGCCATACTGATCCTCTTGATTTGACAGTCAATGTCCAACCCCGTGGATATTGTTCAACTACACTACAGTGCAGGAGATGCCTTAGGACAAGGTACCACATACACCCTCTCAAAGGGATCTCCTCTCCCAGTGATCCGCGGTGTCTCAGAACTACGAGGTTCACATTCAGGTGCACGTGCCCTGCTGGTCGCATGAGAGAAGCCTCTTCAAAGGATGCCCGTTGGGGTTTCGTTGATTCGTCATTCATCATCTCCACTGATAACTCAAATCTTGAACCTTGATCTGCAGCCCATGGTGATAATAGCCTGTGTGAGGTCACCTGTGGTTAATGACATGTATAACTGTGCAGTCTAATAGCAACGTGAAGCCAGGTGCGTTTTTTATTTTAAGTGAATGCAATGGTGACCAGGGATAGGACCCCGAGCCCCACGTGCACTGTAGCTTATGGAGCCACACCTCCAATTTAGATTTGAGCGTACTCCGTGCTGAAAGATTGAGCTGCGGTGTTGCGATGTGGAGAGTGTGCATCTGGTCGCTATTGCAGATATGCAATTTCCCTTCAGAAGAACACTTTGCAATAAAGTTTTGTCTCGATTTAAAGCTTTCGTGACTGCAAGGATTCATCTTCTTTGGTTCTTTTGGTAAAGTCACGTAGAATGAGAATAAAATAATAAATTAATAAAATAAAATAACACAATAAAATTCTCACGACGTTTCGGCCACAACACAAGTGGCCTTCATCAGGTGAAGGGACGAGACTGTCTGGAGGACAGCGCTGGAGCGAACACAGCCAAGCTCAGACCACGACCTTTAAGCTGTGTGAGAAGAAACAGAGCGCCTTGACAAAGGAATTAGCATAACAGCACCCCGCAGCTGTCTCTCTCCCCCTCCTCCGTTCCGACCATGGATGAACTCGTCCGTCTGAACGGGGCTCGTAGCTATCCGTGGTGCTAAAGTTGAGGGTAAGAATCCACCCATTTTTTCGCCATATAGCATTGTGATATATAACGACTTATTGTTGGTAGCTTAGCTGATTGGAGAATATATAGAGTTTATTGATAACATTGAGGCAATTTATATTTTAGTTTTTTATTGGTTTACTATATGGTATTCATTATATAGTGTAGTGTATACCCAGTTACTGTTAATAGCTCAGCTTATTGAAGAATATATTGAGTACATTTATTATATTGATGTAATTTAGACTTAGGTTTTTTCACATCGGTTTATTATATGATAGTCGAGTTGTTGCAGCCCCTTTGGCGTCCATGTACTAGGTGCCTCTGTAGATGTGTAGGCTTTGACTTTAACATAGCTATTTCTATGACCAGTCACAAGCTAATCCCTCAGTTATTTCAATGCTAAATTCTCCTGTTTGATTTATACTAGGTGCTTCTGTGGATGTGTAGGCTTTGACTTTAACATAGCCATTTCTGTGATCAGTCACAAGCTAATCACTCAGCTATTTCAATGCTAAATTCTCCTGTTTGATTTGTACTAGGTGCCTCTGTGGATGTGTAGGCTTTGACTTTAACATAGCCATTTCTGTGACCAGTCACAAGCTCATCACTCAGCCATTTCAATGCTAAATTATATGCTAATTCCTTTGTCAAGGCGCTTTGTTTCTTCTCACACAGCTTAAAGGTCGTGATCTGAGCGTGGCTTTTTTCACTCCAGCGCTGTCCTCCAGACAGTCTCGTCCCTTCACCTGATGAAGGCCGCTTGTGTTGTGGCCGAAACGTCGTGATTTTTGTTATTTATTTTTTACCTACGTGACTTTACCCAATAGAACCAAAGAGTAGGTAAACATCACATTTATACTCATGCGATATAACCCAAAAAACCTTTATTATGAATATTGGTCACCAAAGCCTACATGTTAAACTGAAATGTGTAATCGTATAAATGTTAATTTGCTGTATCAGGACAAACTGGGGCGACCGGTGTGCTGAGTGGTCACTGGCGAATTGCTCAGTCACCCCTCCCCCAACGTTCGTAATTCATTAAACGTTTATTGATTTTCGATGCGTCTAGTAACCAGGTCTAGCTTAGTGCAATGCGTTGCCGTCTGTAGTAGGTTGCCATCAGTTTCGTGAGCAATAACATTCCTTGCACAACTTGTCAGAGATTAATGAGGTGAAGTGTAACATTTGCAAGAGGAGAGCTGGACACCCTAAGAGTAGATTTTTTTTGCTCAGTCAGTGTGGTTGTAGATACATTTATAATATGTGAGCTTTGGGCTAAGACACCGGAGCACACGATGTCACTGCGTTTTTTTTTTCATCACTGCAGCAATGCGCACTATGGTTCACGAGGGCTGGCTGGGTTTGGTGGGTGGGGGCTGGAGAGAATGAGGACTCTGGTTTATAGTCACGCCTCTGGCTGAGGACTCGGCAGCTCAAGCGTGCGAGCGGCCAGACAGAGAGAAAAACCAAACTAGGTCACCATCACGTTCGTGAAAAAATCCGGCTTGTCTCGCAGGCCCTCAGGGTTATTAACTTGCACATGGATGCGATTGTTATTCAAACATAAGCGGTGTGCGTGATGGATTACTGCACTTATACAAATGAAGGGGGCCCTTCCCTGACCTATATTTTAGATTTATGCAAAGGTAACATTGTAACCTGGATTTTTTAATTCAGTATTTTTATTTGTGTCATCAACAAAACTGCATATATTTTTTGACAGGAAATAACACATTAATACATTAAATATAAATTAAACTTGCAGATGCACAGACCTGGGCTCAATTATGATTGCAATTTCAGCTAACAATGCTGCCACTGTAGTTATAATCGATCCTAGGTATGATTTTGTATGTAAAAGCAAATCAGCTTGTAAATGTATTCATGTTCGCATGATAAAACTGTGCACACAGAACCAGCTGCTTCGTAATATGTGTGGGAGTGGCATAAGTGAACCGTCTGCAACATGCATGCTAAAGATCCAAAGACATTTACTCAGAGGTAGCCCACTGTTATTTCTAATATCCTAATTTGAACTGTTTTTATTTCTATTTAGCTCTTTCAAAATAATACAGCAAAATGGCTGTCACAACTTCCTACTTGGCAAATGCTGTTTCAGAGAAACACAAAAAGACAACGATCCCCCACCAAGCCCGGATAATGGTGGTGGCTCGAGCTTTTATCAACCACCCGTCGTTGATTCCAACAAGATGTGGCACAGCCACCGACCGCCAAGCTGATTTTAACTACGTACGTGTGTGCGAATGTTGAATTTATTTCGCACCGTACGTAGCCAACCATGTTAATGGGAGGTGCAAAATACAATGTTGTACAAGGATCACATTTTCGGGACGGGTAATGCTTTGATAAAACTAGACCAGGTTTAGATACAAATTGCCAATAGCAAGGAATTCAACTTAGGATTTTAAGATTGTTTCAGTCTGCTTAACGCACCACCACTCCATGTGCACAAAAGAGACAAAAACACACCACTTACCACTGTCCACATTGTGCACACGACAGAACCTAATGTATAGTGTAGTACCACCTTTTTTTTAACTACCCTTCGGCAAAGGATTCCTATTAGAGTAGCCGCTGTAGCTGTGCCAAGCGTGTTAGCTTGGTTTGGAATGGAAACAGGAAAAATTAATGTATGTTATTTATTTGTAATACCCAACAAATACGCAGCAGAGGTAGGCTTTGCCTACGTTGTCTAACTCACGCGGGACTGGTTGCGAGCTTTCATGCTTTTCTGTCACTTTATACGAATAGTCAGCAACACCTCAATCCCTGGGAAACCGCCAAAAAGGATAAATGTCACGATTCACCTCCCACACCGTTTGATGAAATGCCACAATTTTCGTCACAAATAAATTTATGAGATTATTTTCCATCTTGTTTTCACCGACTCATCTGTAGTGTCAGTTTTGCATTTGCTGTGTCATCTACTGTATCCCGCACCTCCGATGGTTGGATACGTACGGTGCGAAAGAAGTTCACCATAAGCACATACATCTCATATTCTCTCCTTTACACCATCTGCTTTAAGCTGCCTCATTTTTGCCATCTCACCTGCAAGGTCTACACTGCCTCATTTGTTCTCTCATATATCACGGTCACCATCAGTACTACCCGCACTGTCTGTTACTTTGTTCTGTCCCTTATGTACTGCCTCTGTTCTGTCTCATTCCAACAATGAATGCAATAATTTGCATAAAATATGCAGGAACCATGTAAACAATACATTTTTGCATGTAATCGACAAATACATTTGAATGTCTGGGGTGCCACAGTGGTGAGATATTAACTCCCTTGCCTGGTATGCAGGAGGTCATGCTTTCAATCCCGACCCTGACGCCTGCTGTCTATTTGGAGTTTGCATGTTCTCCCCGTGGTCGCGTGAATTTTTTTCCGGGTCCTCTGGTTTTTCCCTTCACATATAGAAACATGCGTTTCGAGTATTTGGATGCTATATATTTCCACATGATGATAAGCCACTTCGCTGAGCTATCATTTGTGGCCAGGTCGCTTCTGAGAAAAAAAAAAGAGCTAAATTGCTCAGTGGGGCTTACCTGGTAAAATAACTAGTTTTTTTTTTAAATTAGTGTATCAAGCAACTTTGCAATCTAAATGAATTGCCACTTACCTCCAGCAAAAGCAATGTCTCATGGTCCAGCCACTCGCGGGATGCACTTGCTGCGGCTTTGCTCTGCAGACACAATACATTTACATCATGGGACATTTTTTTCCAGTATCAAAGTATTAAAAACAAGAATAGGTTTTACCCTTTCTGGCAATAAAACAGGCGGTATGTTAAGATATTCTTGGTTCTTTCGGTAAAGTCACGTAGAAGGGAAACAATAAAATAAGAACAATTTAAAACAATAAAATTCTCACTTTTCGACTGCAACACAAGCAATCATCATCAGGTGTGAAAACCACAGCAAGGAAATTTGAAAAAAGTGGCGTTTTTTTTATGTTAGCACCACGGAGAGCGATTTGGCAGTTATTCAGATGGACGAGTCCATCTATGTTCGGAAAAGAGGAGGGGGGAGACGAAAATAATGGTTGCGGTCTGAAAGCCACCGTAAGCGTGAACAATCAATTAAGACCCGAAATGGTTTATCAAATCCTTCCAATGATTGCTAAGCCAGAATCCATCTTCTCGGTTGAAATTGTCTCTGTGTTTGTATATGTGGATAGCCTCATGAACGAATCTCTCATGGTAGCCAGATGGCTTGCAAAGAACCTCTGTCTTGGAGAAGTCAATGTCATGTGAGCCTGCTGAATTATAACAGTGATCTGCCACGGCCGGGGTGTTGGTCCTGCCGTGTTTTAGGTCTGCTTTGTGTGCAGAGTGGGAGTCTGGATGGCGTCAGTCTCAAATTTCTCCATGAAAATGTTGGCTACAACTGGAGATAGGGGGGAGCCCATTGGGGTGCCTTCAGTGTGTTTGTAGAAAGTTCCATTCCAAGTGAAGTATGTATTGGTTAAGCAGTGTCTCACCAGGGGGGGTACCTCAGTGTTTAGTCCTTGATGAACCAAGTCTTCAATGATTGCGATGGTGTCAGGTACAGGAACTTTGGTGAATAAGGAAACTACATCAAAACTGACACATTACATAAAATCCGTGATCTGGTTCCGTATGTAAAAGATGTGATTCCGGACATACAGTACCCTGGCGTCTACAAACTAAGTTACCTCTGTGGTAGTAGTTACATTGGAGAAACCAAACGACATGTCTCGGACCGCATTCGTGAACACAAAGCAGATCTAAAACACGGTAGGACCAACACCTCGGCCGTGGCAGATCACTGTTATAATTCAGTATGCTCACATGACATTGACTTCTCCAAGACAGAGGTTCTGTGCAAGCTATCTGGCTACCATGAGAGATTCGTTCATGAGGCTATCCACATATACAAACACAGAGACAATTTCAACCGAGAAGATGGATTCTGGCTTAGCAATCATTGGAAGGATTTGATAAACCATTTCGGGTCTTAATTGATTGTTCACGCTTACGGTGGCTTTCAGACCGCAGCCATTATTTTCGTCTCCCCCCTCTTTTCCGAACATAGATGGACTCGTCCATCTGAATAACTGCCAAATCGCTCTCCATGGTGCTAACGTTAAAAAAAACGCCACTTTTTTCAAAATTTCTTGCTGTGGTTTTCACACCTGATGATGATTGCTTGTGTTGCAGTCGAAAAGTCGTGAGAATGTTGTTTTATATTTTTATTATATTGTTTCCCTTCTACGTGACTTTACCGAAAGAACCAAGAATATGAATCCCTGCAGTCACGAAAGCTTTAAATCAAGAGGTATGTTAAGATGTTCAAACAGCAAATAGATACATTGTTGCAAGGAATCAAGTTTGCATTAACCACACATACTTGTGGTGAACATGCAAACAAACATGCTCGGATAATATTTACATTGTCTTTGCAATTTCTGGTTTATGATAAACCTTCTATACATTTAGCCAGATTTCAATTGGGCGAGTAGGTAATTGCAACACAAACTTTTACTGGACACTGTAGACTGTGCATCGTCTCCAAGGTGCCTCACTTTGAGTAGGTGCTACCACTCACTTCACTAGTAATTATCCTAAAGATAAAAAAGATATGTGTAAAATGTCTTGGCAAGCACCGTCCATTGTGAAAGATTGACACGTGTTGAACTCGTGCCGCCAGCATTCCAAATTGGTTTGGAGGTGGCAAAATACCTTCGCAGAGACGTTCTTCTTGGAGTATATGTCTGTGCGCAGCCCAAAACTCTGCACTTCTGCCGGCTTATCCCGTCCACGGTCCACCAAGGTCAGCATGACCTGCGAGGCAGGGCCCTGCAAAAGCACATCTTTTTAGAGGGCCATCTCCATCCATTGTCAAGCCCGAGTGCACTGCTCCTCGTGTATATATATACGTATGTACGTCAACATCTTTCACACGTATGTGGCCAACCGTGCTAATCGGAGGTGTTGGGGAAGGACTCACACAGGTCTCTGTGTGAGTCTATAGGAATGTGTGTGAGTCTATGGGTCTCTGGGTGAATCTATATGTATGTGTAACAACATAAATGGGCCGTTGTATGGCGACAGTGGGTGTACTACAGTGAGGGAAAAAAGTATTTGATCCCCTGCTGATTTTGTATGTTTGCCCACTGACAAAGAAATGATCAGTCTATGATTTTAATGGTAGGTTTATTTGAACAGTGCGAGACAGAATAACAACAAGAAAATCCAGAAAAACGCATGTCAAAAATGTTATAAATGATTTGCATTTTAATGAGGGAAATAAGTATTTGACCCCCTCTCAATCAGAAAGATTTCTGGCTTCCAGGTATCTTTTATACAGGTAACGAGCTGAGATTAGGAGCACACTCTTAAAGGGAGTGCTCGTAATCTCAGCTTGTTACCTGTATAAAATACACCTGTCCACAGAAGCAATCAATCAATCAATCAGATTCTAAACTCTCCACCATGGCCAAGACCAAAGAGCTCTCCAAGGATGTCAGGGACAAGATTGTAGACCTACACAAGGCTGAAATGGGCTACAAGACCATTGCCAAGCAGCTTGGTGAGAAGGTGACAACAGTTGGTGCGATATTCGCAAATGGAAGAAACACAAAAGAACTGTCAATCTCCCTCGGCCTGGGGCTCCATGCAAGAACTACACGGGAGGATCTTGTCAATGATCTCAAGGCAGCTGGGACCATAGTCACCAAGAAAACAATTGGTAACACACTACGCTGTGAAGGACTGAAATCCTGCAGCGCCCGCAAGGTCCCCCTGCTCAAAAAGCACATATACATGCCCGTCTGAAGTTTGCCAATGAACATCTGAATGATTCAGAGGACAACTGGGTGAAAGTGTTGTGGTCAGATGAGACCAAAATGGAGCTCTTTGGCATCAACTCAACTCGCCGTATTTGGAGGAGGAATGCTGCCTATGACCCCAACAACACCATCCCCACCGTCAAACATGGCGGTGGAAACATTATGCTTTGGGAGTGTTTTTCTGCTAAGGGGACAGGACAACTTCACCACATCAAAGGGACGATGGACGGAACCATGTACCGTCAAATCTTGGGTGAGAACCTCCTTCCCTCAGCTAGGGCATTGAAAATAGGTCGTGGATGGGTATTCCAGCATGACAATGACCCAAAACACATGGCCAAGGCAACAAAGGAGTGGCTCAAGAAGAAGCACATTAAGGTCCTGGAGTGGCCTAGCCAGTCTCCAGACCATAATCCCATAGAAAATCTGTGGAGGGAGCTGAAGGTTCGAGTTGCCAAACGTCAGCCTCGAAACCTTAATGACTTGGAGAAGATCTGCAAAGAGGAGTGGGACAAAATCTCTCCTAAGATGCGTGCAAACCTGGTGGCCAACTACAAGAAACGTCTGACCTCTCTGACTGCCAACAAGGGTTTTGCCACCAAGTACTAAGTCATGTTTTGCAGATGGGTCAAATAATTATTTCCCACATTAAGATGCAAATCAATTTAGAACATTTTTGACATGCGTTTTTCTGAATTTTTTGTTGTTATTCTGTCTCTCACTGTTCAAATAAACCTTCCATTAAAATTAAAGACTGATCATTTCTTTGTCAGTAAGCAAACGTACAAAATCAGCAGGGGATCAAATACTTTTTTCCCTCACTCTATACACAACAGCTCACTAGAGGGCAGATTCTGGATGTCACGGAGGTCGGGTCAGGACATGACAGTCCGGGTGAACTCGCGAGAGCACGTGACCGAACGAGGGGGCACGGGGGCCCTCAGAAGGGGGTGAGCGGGCCACGTGATGTGGACCCAGACTCTTCGCGAAGGATCGAGAAGGGGGCGTGACCAGGGGCAGAGCCCAGTCACGCCCCCTTCTCTTTGGGGGGCGAAGCCCGGTCACACCACAGGAAATATAAGCCGAGCCCCGAGAGGGAGTGTAGCTGTTCAACCTGGGAAAGAAGTCGTCTTTTTCGAGCCTCGCACTTCAGTCTCCGTAAATGACGACACGACGGTGTGTCGGCTGTTCTGGTTCAACCATATAGGGATTCCGTTCAAGTGGTTAGGTGGTTAGAAACGGTGGCCACCACCTTACGTAGTTAACCTGTAATGGACATAGTGGCTCGGAATGTACATAGTTAACCTTGGAATGTTGAATAGTGTTGGTTGTGTTAGAGAATAAAACACTCTTTGGTTCTTTCGGTAAAGTCACATAGGTATAAAATAAAATAAGTCACGACGTTTCAATTGCAACACAAGTGGGAAAACCACAGCAATAATTTTTTTGCTGAAGTGGTAGAGAGATGCCATGGTAAGAGGGTATATAGGTAAGAAAGGGGGGAGGGGCAAGGGGGGAGAGAGGGGGGTGTGGGGTAGGGGAGCGCTGCGTGAGCGCTCGGAGGAGAGGGGACGCGAGGCTGGGGGGGGTTGTGGGCGGGGCTAGAAGTGGGAGGCCGAAAGAGCTGGGGATGCGGGGAGGAAGTTAACTCGGAAAAATGGACTAGTATCCCCGGCAGATATGATAGACAACAACCATGAAGCAGTTAGGGTTTTACCTGGTTAATAACATCCTTCCAATGATTGCTCAATTTTTATCCATCTTCTCGGTTGAAGTTATGTCTATGTTTATATATCTGGATGGCTTCATGAACAAACCTTTGATAGTAGCCCGAAAGTTTGCAGAGTACCTTGGTCTCGGAAAACACAATATCATGTGAGCCCACAGCGTTATAACAATGGTCAACTACGGCAGAGGTCGGGTCAATACAGTTCACAAAATCCATGATCTAATCCCATCTGTGAAGGATGTCATTCCTGACATGCAATATCCTGGAGTTTACAAACCGAGTTGTACCTGCGGCAGCAATTACATCGGGGAAACGAAACGACATGTCTCGGACCGTGTTCGCGAGCAAAAGGCAGATCTGAAACATGGCAGAACCAATACCTCTGCCGTAGCTGACCATTGTTATAACGCTGTGGGCTCACATGATAGTGTTTTCCGAGACCAAGGTACTCTGGCAAACCTTCGGGCTACTATCAAAGGTTTGTTCATGAAGTCATCCGGATATATAAACATAGACATAACTTCAACCGAGAAGATGGATACAAACTTAGCAATCATTGGAAGGATGTTATTAACCAGGTAAAACCCTAACTGATGGTTAAATTTCGATTTAAAGCTTTCGTGACTGCAGGGATTCATCTTCTTGGTTCTTTCGGTAAAGTCACGTAGAATTTAAATAAAATAATAACACAAGTAGCCTTCCTGAGGTGAAGAGACAGAACTGTCGGGAAGACAGCGCTTCAGTGAACACTGACAGCGCTTCAGTGAACACTGACAGCGCTTCAGTGAACACTGACAGCGCTTCAGTGAACACTGAACACTGAAGCGCTCTTCCCGACAGTTCTGTCTCTTCACCTGAGGAAGGCTACTTGTGTTGTGGCCGAAACGTAGTGAGAATTTTTATTTTATGTTTTATTTTTATTATTTTATTTCAATTCTACGTGACTTTACTGAAAGAACCAAGAAGATGCTTTATGGTTTGTCTATCATATCTGCCAGATACTAGTCCATTTTTCCGAGTTAACTTCCCCCCCCCCACCGCATCCCCAGCTCTCTCGGCCTCCCACTTCTAGCCCTGCCCGCTTCCCCCCCCCAGCCTCGCGTCCCCTCTCCGAGCGCTCACGCAGCGCTCCCCTCCCCCTACCCCACTCTCTCTCCCCCCTTGCCCCTCCCCCCCTTTACCTATGTAACCTCTTACCACGGCATCTCTCTCCCACTTCAGCAAAGCAAAACAACATTTTTCTTGCTGTGGTTTTCCCACCTGATGATTGCTCGTGTTGCAATCGAAACGTCGTGATTTATTTTATTCTATACCTACGTGACTTTACCGAAATAACCAAAGAGTATGGATTCCTGCAGTCACGAAAACTTCAAATCTAGATAGAATAAAACATGTTGCCTCCCAGTCTTGGTGTGTGCCTGATTTGAACCCACTACATATGTACATGTGTATGTTGAACTTCTTTCGCACCGTACAATGCCATCCGTGCTAATCGGAGGTGCTGGGGAAGAACAAGCTAAACACAAAAAGCAGTTCTAAAGAAATGAGCTTGCAATCTAGATGATTTAAAAGTGAATAAGCTCAAGGGGCTTGATAATATTGAAAGGAAGAGCGATCCAAACGGCCGCAAAAGTGCATCTGAAAGCGTGCAAGCGGTGGCCGTCATTGTTCAATGGCAAGCCAAAAGCCGCTGCGAATACGTCTCGCAACTTGGGAATACATAACCTGGACCTACATACGGTATTCTTGTCATGTGAAGAAAAAATCAACAAGGTATTTACATCACACAGGCAAACATCTTCTATTCACACATCAATAGATACATCAAAATCATTGAGAAGCATAGGCATTACTGCCTTTTTTAAGCAAAAGTAGTTGCAATAATTGACACTTCTCTACCACAGTCCACCATAAACCCACCCTGCTCAAGCGATATACCCTCTAGTTCCCCTTCTAACTCCTGTATTAAGCACATTAATGAAACCAACAAAGCACACAGGAGATACTCTCTCTTCCTACTACTCACAACGTGGCCTCTTTCACAAAAGTGTGAATGAGTGAAGTTGGCCCAAATACAGCAACTCTCGGGGGCACAACAACTTATTTCAACAAGTTGGGGTATGCAAGATCCGACTGTGGGTCCCCCTCCTTTCTCCCGACTCACTTTGACTGAAATAGCTAGGGATGTTTTTAACCTGTATACAATATGTAGGCTATAACAAAAAATATTATTTTAGTTGCACTGTGCATTTGGGTTTAGAGGAAGATAGTCTCACAGTGACAGTATTAATAAAAGAGATGTAAAGGTACAAGACAACTCACAATTAAGTTATCGTGCATCTTGCTTTCATGCCGGGGCTCACCGCTCTAGGATTTTCTCAAAGGGGGTGGATTGCGCAACTTTATGCCTCTCTATTGATATGATAGCCAGATGCGTTGATTGGGCTTGGTCCATGGTAGCCCGCAGGTCATTTTAAATACATATTTATAAATTATCTTAACATAGTTTACTTGTTAATCTGTTGATTCGGAAGAGCCCCCCTTGTGGCCGGCTGGGCCCCTATGCATTGTATAACGCTGCCACTCCGCCCCCCCCATAGTTGCGCCCCCGCACACACTTCACTTACCGTGGGGGGTGGTGGGTAGCCACACAGTGCACTCTCACCTGAGGGCCTCTTGGCTTCATCGGTGCCATGCCATTGGGTACATCAGCCAGCACGTGGAAGTGAGCGGTGGGAGGTGGCCCTGTAGGAGAGGGCTTGCTGTCCGGGTCCACTTGGTAGTTTATGAGCCCCCACTGCTCCAGAAACGCATGCACCCTGGAGTCGAGGCGTGCCCAGCCAACATGAGCAGACGTTGAATATCCGTGCGTGTGGATAAGGGTCTCAGGGGCCTAACACTTGTGCTAGCTTGTAATACGTGATTTTATATTCATCATTATCATCAGACACAAACAATCCACTGCTGGATGAAGGCCTCCCTCAAGCTGCCGCATTGGGAACTGCTTTTTGTGTGAGTTTAGTTTTTTGTTCTTCCCCTGCACCTCCGATGAGCAAAATTGTCTACGTACGGGGGCGAAAAAAGTTCAAAATATATACATCTACAGATGAAATGTACCTTACAAGTGCAGTGACATTGCTGTATGTCAACATGCTGGGTGCAATGTCGGCCCTAGAGGGGCACGGCATGTGGTGCAGCAACATCGCGGATACCACAATGTGGGTGTAGTACCGGCCCTAGAGGGGCCCGGTGAGCGCTGAATAATAGCGCTCGATGACACCACGCTTTGCGTGCAGTGCCGACCTTACAGGACAGGGTGTGTGGGTGCCGGCCGAAGGATAAGGTTATGTGAGGCCATGGCACTCTGGTTAACCCGGGAGGACACGTGACCGGTTAAGTTGACAAAGGAGCCCCAAGAGGGGGCTAGGGGGGGTCACGTGATTAGGACTCAGATCCTTCCTGAGGATTCTGGAAGGTGGACGTGGCCAAGAATGGAGCCGGCCATGCCACAGAGAATATAAGCCGGGTCCGGAGAGGGACCAGGGTGGTTGTTCATCCTGGAAGAAACCCTTCGCCTCCGTTCTCCGTTCAACGAGTCTCCCAACACGTGGACCCGGGCCGAAGCTGTTGGTTCCGGTCCATAGTAGCAGTTACGTTGTAACTAGTGTAGTTAGCCTGGTGGTCACCACTATAGGTTGTTATTCTGTTAAGGGGAAAGTTACCCCGTGTGTTGGAACTGAATACATGTGTTGCCTCTAAGTCTACGTCTGCGACTCAGTTGAACCCATTACACAAGTGTAAATTATCCTTAATTTTCTTTGGTTCTTTCGGTAAAGTCACGTAGAATGTTATTTTATTTTATCAATTTATTACTTTATTCTCATTCTACGTGACTTTACCGAAAGAACCAAAGAAGATGAATCCTTGCAGTCACGAAAGCTTTAAATCGAAATTTATCCTTAATTTATAATTATTTTCTGCTCGTTTATCCAGGGAAGTCTAGCTGATTCTCATGACTCTTTCAGGAGGGTCCTGCCAAGTTTTCTCAGTAGGGGGAGGCGATGATTTTAAAGTAGATTCCAACCGAGTAATTGGCGTGAAGGACGTCAAGGGATCCTTAACACCGACTGCGAAGTGGACAGTGCGGATTTCCACGGTTAATCCATCTGCAGCCTTAATCGGGGCGGCCCGCTCAGGGCGGCCCGCTCGATTCGAACCGCGAACCTCCCCAAGGCGCTGCGATGATCGACCATGGCCATTGCACTCGATCGCATGTCATCCCTCCCGTGGGCGAGGGACATCTTCCCGGGGCGTGTGTTCTCTCCCCTTGGCTGCCATTCCATAATTATTGCTGACCATCATATTTAGTTTTGTTTGTTTGTTGTCCTTCCCCCGCAATCTCTGATTAGCACGGTTGGCTATGTACGGGGTGAAAGAAGTTCAACATCAGCCATCATATCCTTTCCAGCGGCCGTGTCCTGCCCCAGCCCCACTTGTCACTTGCCAGTGCTGGAGGTTGAACATCATGTGATGAGCATGACTTGCCCGTGGCCGGAATGGGATACGTTACATTGAGCGTCACACCTTCCTCGTGTGCCCAAGCACCACCGCGGCCCCAAGTCAACAGGGGCATCCTCAGGATTTGTTTTGTGGTTATCATGTGGTTAACAATAAAGGACCTTGGTTAGTTAACAATATAAATAACATACTTCGATCCATAAGAGGTTTTTTTTTCTTTTATTCAAGACCGAAACAGGAGGATTTCTCCACAATTCGCCTGATGAGCCTTGGTTGTATTTACCAGCGAAACGTCATGGTACTCGAATTGTAAATGTTGCAATGGGTTTACTCTCCAACACACCAGTGTGCTGATCTAGGAACTAATTGGCATGTTTTGTTTATGTGACAAACCTTACTAACTGGGCTGTGTCGGGTGGTGGTGGGTTTATAGATAGATTTACAATTATGCAATCTAACCTAAAAAAACATTATAAATAATATTGGTCACGAAAGCCTACTACGTGTTAAACTAAAATACTTCCAGCGCCAAAGGTAACAACCATTGAAAAGCACCTATTTTGTGATTTATCTCTGACAATCACATGCATAGCTGCTTTGTTGCTACCGCAGAGTCAGCTGTGTGGCTTCTTCAGCAAACCCCTACCCCAACGCCCCCACATGACCACTATCCCTTCTGGTTTTTTTTACATTGTCACTGCTCTTTATGGATAATCATTTATTCCAGATAAAGGGCAGCACATTGGCAAGCAGACGAATCCCAGGGGGCAGCAATATCTTCATGAAGCGCAGAGCCGTAATGGAAGACGGGAGAATGAAAATTTGTGGAGTTCCTCGCTGATCTACTTATATGGTAAGCCTATTACGTACTGTATATTGCTCATCTGTTGTGCTGGTTTTGCAGCTGTAATTTGGCTCACCAGGTGGAGGACATACTGAAGTAAAGTGTGAATAATAATAATAGAGTTTTTCCCCTTTTTTCTGGCAAAAAAACTGAAACCTTTTTACAAGGATTCATGTTTGCATTAACCACAATACCTGCAGTCAAAATGCAAACAAAAAACATACTATGATAATATATGCATTGTCCTTGAAACTGATCCCTTGGTGTGGACCAATCAGTTTCAAGAACAATGCATATATTATCATAGTATGTTTTTTGTTTGCATTTTGACTGCAGGTATTGTGGTTAATGCAGACATGAATCCTTGTAAAAAGGTTTCAGTTTTGTTGCCAGAAAAAAGGGGAAAAACCCTATTATTACATTTTGGTACTGGCAAAGGAGGTCTAATAACAAAGTGTGAATAATAGACTCTGTTGGTCCTGGTGCAGGCTTCGAGAAAACGTAACGAAATCATGCACACCACATTTTGGTAATCACCATGCCAGATGGTTTTCTGTCTCAATGAATTTCCATCATGTGTCCACACTTTTGGTCACATGACGGCTGACTGGACAACATGCTATAGAAGTCACTCTCATCGAGGGTTAAACGGCTAGGAACGTTGGTATGATCACTCCTTCCCCCGCACCTCCAATTAGCACGGTTGGCTACATACGGTGTGAAAGATATTCAACGTACATACACACATACAACAAGGAGGTAACGTACTTAGACTGTCACAACGAAGTGATGCTGGTTTCTCAGCTGAGCATGATGACAGTGTTCAACGCTGTTTATTTCATAGGACGATACCTCATTAAGGGAGACGTAATGACAGAGCAAATAGAAGACTGGATACTTATTCTTAGCTCTTTTGGTAAAGTCACGTTAAAGGGAAACAATAAAATTATAAAATATATTGTATATATATTGTTTCCCTTCAACATGACTTTACCGAAAGAGCTAAGAATATGAATTACTGCAGTCACGAAAGCTTTAAATCAAAATTTAAGACTGGATACTGCTAATATCATCTGATACCACAGCAAGAATGTACCTTAATGTACCCTACCCTAAATTTAATTATATTTTTAAACCTCACAATCACATAGTGTTAACTGATGTTGAATGTGTTCAAAGTTGGATATGTTTCATGACTTAGATCTCCCTCGCAAGGGAGACTGTTTGGGTCCCAAGGGGCTCCACATTAAATTACACACTTCATTACCCAATACTTTATTTAAACCAGGCTCTCAACTAGTTTAAATGAAGATTTAGTTAAGGAGGAACCATTTCTTTGCTCAGTTTTTATTTAACTGTCACGAGATATTTTTTGTAATTTTTCACGGAACATTTATTTCACTCAGTGAAGTTCACGTGCAGGGATGTGAATGTTCCATCGTTAACGAGATGCAAAAATGTTTGACTACCGATTACACGATGCCTGCACTAAACAAGCTGAGCTATACTCTGGTCAGGTTCCGAGCTTGCGCTGCAGCTGTGCAATGCACCACGTCACAATCGCCTGCATAGCGCCGACACACCTAGTTCACAAAATATATACTTATATATTTGTGTATTTTTTTATTTATGTATATTTTTTTAAGTGAATTGTTTACCTTTCCTATACTTTGCACTCCTATTGTGTTTTTGTATTGTTTGTTGTTATAAATTTCTGATCTGCCCCTACTGAACACCTGTGAAAAGGCGCTTTATAGCTCATAGGATTTCTTCAGCATAAATATTCAGATTCTTCATGATCCGTGGCCTCGTAATGTATGTACATGTGTTGAACTTCTTGAGCAACGTACGTAGCCAACCGTGCTAATCGGGGGTGCGGGGGAGGACAACAAACTAAACAAAAAAAGCGGTTCTAAAGAAATGCGTTAAATATCAGTGATACAATGACATCATCCAAGAAGGGGTCACCAGCTTCTTTCTTTAATTTAGTGCCCATAGGACATCCACCTCCCATTGGAACGGTTAGCATGGTTGTCTACATAAGTATGGTGCTAAAGAAGTGTAACCTACATACATACAGCCACTTTTCATCAGCTGTGATGAACACTGCCTTCCCAGAAGCCTTCATGACCCCTGTCAGTCACCCAGCACCTGCACATTAGCAGGCTGCCCTCTGGGAAGAGTTCCCTATATTTGGCAGCCACTCCATCGTGAGTTTCAAACAAAGGCCAAGATTGCCTTTGAGTATCCTGCCCAAGGCCACCTGCTTTTATTACCAGCGAAAATTATTCCTTTAACCTGCACGTCTTCTGCAATGCACGTGTTCAAGTTGGAATTTAGAGGTGTAAATTCAAAAGATCTATAAATAGTAAACCAGTCACCTTTATAGTTGAATTATTATTTATCATAACACTTCTTCTTTGGTTCTTTCGGTAAAGTCACGTAGATGAGAATAAAATAATAAATTAATAAAATAAAATAACACAATAAAATTCTCACGACGTTTCGGCCACAGCACAAGTGGCCTTCATCAGGTGAAGGGACGAGACTGTCTCGAGGACAGCGCTGGAGCGAACACAGCCAAGCTCAGACCGCGACCTTTAAGCTGTGTGAGAGGAAACAGAGTGCCTTGACAAAGGAATTAGCATAAAAATTAGCATTTAATTGGCGGACTTAGCATGATGAACAGTGTAGAGGGGGTGAACATGTGCAGACTGGCGAGGGGGGGGGAGGGGGAGTTTAAATATTGATGGTGTGCAAAGGGAATTTAAGCTGCTGCGAAAGTTTGGGATACCACTACTTGAAAAAATATACTGTACCATTGAAAATTAGTTTAATGTTTGGTTCGGATAATTTAGCATTGAAATAGCTGCGTGATTAGCTTGTGACCGGTCACAAAAATGGCTATGTTAAAGTCAAAGCCTACACATCCACAGACGCACCTAGTACAAATCATACAGGAGAATTTAGCATTGAAATAGCTGCGTGATTAGCTTGTGACTGGTCACAGAAATGGCTATGTTAAAGTCAAAGCCTACACATCCACAGAGGCACCGAGTACAAATCAAACAGGAGAATTTAGCATTGAAATAACTGAGGGATTAGCTTGTGACTGGTCATAGAAATAGCTATGTTAAAGTCAAAGCCTACACATCCACAGAGGCACCTAGTACAAATCAAACACGAGAATTTAGCATTGAAATAGCTGAGTGATTAGATTGTGACTGGTCACAGAAATGGCTATGTTAAAGTCAAAGCCTACACATCCACAGAGGCACCTAGTACAAATCAAACAGGAGAATTTAGCATTGAAATAACTGAGTTGATTAGCTTCTGACTGGTCATAGAAATAGCTATGTTAAAGTCAAAGCCTACACATCCACAGAGGCACCTAGTACAAATCAAACAGGAGAATTTAGCATTGAAATAGCTGCGTGATTAGCTTGTGACTGGTCACAGAAATGGCTATGTTAAAGTCAAAGCCTACACATCCACAGAGGCACCTAGTACAAATCAAACAGGAGAATTTAGCATTGAAATAACTGAGGAATTAGCTTGTGACTGGTCATAGAAAGCTATTTCTATGACCAGCTATTTCTATGACCAGTCACAAGCTAATCCCTCAGTTATTTCAATGCTAAATTCTCCGGTTTGATTTGTACTAGGTGCCTCTGTGGATGTGTAGGCTTTGACTCTAACATAGCTATTTCTATGACCAGTCACAAGCTAATCACTCAGTTATTTCAATGCTAAATTCTCCTGTTTGATTTGTACTAGGTGCCTCTGTGGATGTTTGGGCTTTGACTTTAACATAGCCATTTCTGTGACCAGTCACAAGCTAATCACGCAGCTACTTCAATGCTAAATTATCCGAACCAAACATTAAACTAATTTTCAATGGTACAGTATATTTTTTCAAGTAGTGGTATCCCAAAATTTCGCAGCAGCTTAAATTTCCTTTTCACACCATCAATATGTAAACTCCCCCTCCCCCCCCCCCTCGCCGGTTTGCACATGTTCACCCCCTCTAAACCGTTCATCATGCTAAGTCCGCCAATTAGATGCTAATTTTTATGCTAATTCCTTTGTCAAGGCGCTGTTTCCTCTCACACAGCTTAAAGGTCGCGGTCTGAGCTTGGCTGTGTTCGCTCCAGCGCTGTCCTCGAGACAGTCTCGTCCCTTCACTTGATGAAGGCCACTTGTATTGTGGCCGAAACGTCGTGAGAATTTTATTGTGTTATTTTATTTTATTATTTTATTCTCATTCTACGTGACTTTACCGAAAGAATCAAAGAAGATGAATCCTTGTCGTCACGAAAGCTTTAAATCGAAATCATAACACTTGTTTACAATAGAGGGCGACAATTTACACGTGATTGCCAATCAAGTATTTTATTTTACAAATTTGGCTGTTTTTAATGATTGGTGCGATCATTATTGCAAATGGGACGACCGTGGTCTCGTGAGTTCTCATCTTGGTTAAACAAATAAACTTGACTTGGCACTGCTCTATAGGAGGCCGATCTCACCTGATAATAGCACACACGTCTCCAGCCAGGCTTCGCCGACACACCATTCCACTGAGATATTCCTGGGGATTGAGCCGGTAGGTGTCAATCATGAAGTTCCTGTATGCCAGATAGCTGCAACGCACGTAAAACAAAAAACACAGCTCGGTTCAGTGTCCCTCGTGACGCCGGGGGCGGGCTTCTTCATACCCGAGTGATTCTCACTAATTCAGAGCAACAACAGCAATCCCTCGTGAGTCACTAATCCTAGTTATCATAGCTGGAAGCCTTGAACCAACTGGCAATTAAAGGCATAGGGATGAATACATGAACATATTGGTGGTACACCAGTACGCGCGGGATAAAAAAAGCATACTTTTAGCAATAATTATTTATTTTCTCGAGATTTGCAAACCCCGGTCAGGAAATCTTGCGGGGTTGTGTGCCAAAATCAGTTCTCGTAATGCCCAAGTAGTCGGAAGAAGAATGTTTATGAGCGGCTGAACACGAAGCTTTACAGTCTGTTGCTGTATAGCAGCACCCAGCCCTGATGACGATTGGCTGCTCCATGTTCCAAAGAGAGATTTGACTCGTGCCCTAGACTTGATCGGACGGTTCCTTGATTTATTTCCGGAATCATTTCTTGGCGAACGGTGGCATCAAAAGATTGCCATTCATGGTGTCACCACACATTTGAATGGAAAAGCAGCTGCTGAATCTAAGGCAAATTCTGATGGAGAGTCTGCAGCTCACTCAAGGGCAAGTGACATCGTCAGACTCTATTATGAGGACCGGTGTGTTATGCTGCATCGGTGCACCGCCAATACGTCCACATGTTTAAGGATGATTTGCGTCACAGACGTTTGGGGCCTTTGCTATGAAACTGTGATTTAGGGAATACTATCCAAAATCAACAATTTAAAAGCATAACCCAAAACGCATGCAGCCATTATTTTTTTTATCATTGCACATTCATTTATGGTAATTGTAGAAGTGAAATTCATTATTTTAAAAATGTCTATTTTACCTATCAAAATGTAACAGCTGGTTAGATGCCAATGTGTCACCAGATCTGTTCAGTTAACTCTAAGCACACTGCACTTTGCATTATGTGAAAAGCAGGTGTCTGTATTTGCAAAATCCAGGATACATTTGAGATTTAAATTCCACATTGGTTGTCCTAATCATGTGTGTCCGACATAAGCTCCCACAGCACAGATTATGAAGGCGGGGTTGTGTCACCAACAGATTCCCATAAGTATACATAATAAAAAAATGACAAAAGCAGGAAAGTGACAAGGAAGCCGGCCGGTGAAACGGCCTAGCGGTTGCGCATTCGCAGCTTGTTTGCAAAGGTTCACGGTTTGAAACCAGCAACTACCCTAATTAATACTGCCAGATGTATTCACTCCAAAATTATCATGCCGCCCTGCTTCAAAACTACACACCATCTGGTTCACAGCTCACGTAAAATATCCCGTAAGGTCATCGGCAAGTACAGCAATCCCTCACCAATCGCAGACTTGTCAACAGCAGAATTCACCAACAGACGGTTTATTTTCTATACTCTTTGGTTCTTTCGGTAAAGTCACGTAGGTAGATTTACCAACCGCGGCATGAAAATTTGAGTATCCACGGGTAAGCACGAGGTCTGAAATGTGCATCTACAAATTTTGCTGGGCCACGGTTCTCCTCCGCACCACAGCACTGCCCCGTGACCAACCATAGCCACCGTGATGCTGCGTCGTAGCTTATCAGCTGTCCCTTTGTTTTGTCATAATTCTCGTAGTGCAAAGACTGAGTCGCATCGCAACCATATATTATGTTTGTTGGTCATTCACATTTATTTTCCCCTTAATCATGGACCCAAAGCGTGCAGCGATGGGTTATTGGATCGGCTTGTACATGTAGGGAGAGTGTTGCGTCTCTAGTGGGTTGTATGGAGACGGAGTCTTCTTAGGAGGCAACACGTATTTATTTAACATTAACACAGGTCCCTAACACGAAGGTGTAATGGCCCCTTCTACCCAACAACCTAAAGGGGTACAGCCTCCGGGCTAACGTGCCCTAGCCACTGGGACCAACCACTCTTAGCCCTCTGGCTAACGGGACCTAGGGGAGGCTGACCAGACCCAGCCAAGGTCCTTGGGTCCCGACCACTGGCCCACTCAGACCCGGCCCTGAGAAGGACGTCGGGTCCGGGGATCCTCAGGGTCCTAGCCTACTGACCACTGGCCTCACTGAGCTCCGGCCTTTAGAAGGACGGCGGAGCTTGGGGTCCAGGGTCCTATCTTCAGGCAAGCTCTTGGGTCTTCGGCTTGGCGCTGACTGACTCGAGCTGCTCTGGGGTCCGGCTTTCATGGGGCTCCCAGGGACACTCCGCCCCTGGCCACGCCCATTCTCTGGAAACTTCTGGAGGGACCTAGATTGTTGCGCAATCCCCCAGTCCCCACCGGGGGCCTGGGGTGTCCCCCTCTAGTTCCTAACCGTCCCCCAGGTTGCCTGTCCTACTTAGTACAGACCGGACCCGCTATTGCCCCCTGTTGGCCCCTGGCAGGAGGTACATGTTTAACCGTAATGGTAGCTGCGTATTACGCCCGACAATTACCCACCACACGTCTATGGTGAGAGTCTTTGGGCTGAATGAGTCTACAATTAGAACCATAAAAAGTGATGTTGCGATTAGGGCTCACGTTGCTGGTGGTGCCACTGTGCCTGCCTCTGTGCCAACCCACTCATCTGTTATTGATTACCTGGAGGAAGAGGGGGAGGGTGGGCTGAGCACCTCCTCCATCTAACCACCCCTCCCCCCCATCATCTCATTGTCATCATCATCGTTAATATTAAATGTAAATAAAGTTCATGTAATGTTTATTTATGTTTTACTATGTTATCGTGTAATGTACTCTATTTTATTCGGTGTTTAGTTAATAAGCCGGCAAACTTAGTTAAGCTAGGGCGAGTCTTCCCGCGGCCGTGGTTCCCATGACCCCCTTTTACCCATAGGCCCCTGGTACTTCACCAACCGCGGCCTTTTCCAGGAACCTAACCCCTGTGATTAGCGAGGGATTACTGTATAGGCCATTGTGTGCTGGCGTCATGGTGCAAGTTTGCCAAATAAAAAAACACGCAAATTACACAATTGGAATCTACTCGTAAGAAGCAATAACCACTCCTGGGCTAGGAAAACATGTCAGGACGCTCCTGAAAAAGTCATGAGACTCAGTGAGGCTCTCCTGGGTAGACATCAAGTGTAATGAATAAAATACTAATAATCATCATGGAGGATAATAAAATGTATGATATGCATCAAGTAAGTGAATTATCTTCTTTGAAAGCCAGAGGGAGTCGTAAATACAGATAAACAAGTGGGTGGACCATTCCAGACTGGTCCCAGCATTGGAGATTGGACTTCCTTTTCCATGGAGATCCATGAGGCCAAGATTAAGTGTTTGCTTAGTTCATTAATAACAAAGATAAAGGGCTCCTGAACAGACTGTTGGGGCATGTGCTGTTAGCGAGTAGCACCTATGAAGGCCGGCAAGGCACACGAGGGGGTGGGTGGCCAACACCACGCCTGGCCACCTTTGTCTCCCCAGGGGCAATGTTTGCACACCGCACCAGGTCCTCATTTGAGGCTGAGTCGACCGAGGGAGGCCCAGAACTGGTTCAGATAATTGTAACTGGTGTTGGCCGTGAGCAGGAATCGAACTCTGGTCACCGGGTTCGTAGCGCAGATGCACTAACCGCTACACTACCACTCCATACAAAGTAAGTTGCACCCGTGGTGGCTGTTACATTGGGGAAACGAAACGACATATCTCGGACCGTGTTCGCGAAGACAAGGCAGATCTGAAACACGGCAGAACCAATCCCTCTGCCGTGGCTGACCATTGTTATAACGCTGTGGGCTCGCATGATATTGTTTTTTCCGAGACCAAGGTACTCTGCAAACCTTCGGGTTACTATCAAAGGTTTGTTCATGAAGCCATCCAGATATATAAACAGACATAACTTCAACCGAGAAGATGGATACAAAATGAGCAATCATTGGAAGGATGCTATTAACCAGGTAAAACCCTACTAACTGCTTTGTAGTGGTTGTCGTCTATCATATCTGCTGGGTACCACTACTCTATTTTTCCGAGTTAACTCCCCCCCGCATCCCCAGCTCTCTCGGCCTCCCACTCCCAGCCCTGCCCACTTCCCCCCCCCATCCTCACGTCATTCTCCTCGCGTACACGCAGCGCTCTCCCTCCCCCTACCCCACGCCCCTCCCTCTCCCCCCTTGCTCCTCCCCCTTATTTACCACGGCAACTCTCTCTCCCACTTCTCACCTGATGATTGCTTGTGTTGCAATCAAAACGCCGTGAATTAATTTATTTTATTTTATACCTACGTGACTTTACCGAAAGAACCAAAGAGTAGTAATACTTACATACGTACATTTACATACATTTAAATGTCTCGGTAAACACTCACATTTCTGCAGTTTTTGATTTTGTCTTGCTGTTGAAAAACTCCGGTAGTGCTCGCCTTTCAATTGCGTGAATGCTGGAAAATAATAAAATAATAATTACATATTTTTATTTTGGTGGCATAGCGGTACAGTGGTTACACTTGTCTCACAACCAGAAGCCCCTGGGTCTGATTCCTGACTCGGGTGCTTTCATGTGGAGTTTGTTTTCCCGTTTTGTATGGGAATTCCTCCTGGTTCCCCAGTTTACTCCCGTAACTTCACAACATCACTGTTATTGACCCAACATCCCAATTCAGAAAAATAACGCGCCAACACTGATTTACATTCCATTTAGTAATGCAATACAGAAGTCTCTCGATTAACAGTGACATCAGTTAACGGTTTTTCAGTTAACGTTTCGCCTCTCACAGACCCCATGGTTTAAACTAACGTTAATATTGTGACTAACGGTACGTTTACGTTTTTGTGGAATGGGTGAAAAACGCGGGCGCCAATTTTGATCAATCCGAGGGCTCGTAAATGGGGCTGAGCCACACCCTCAGCCAATCAGCGACGCCCATTTACAAGCATTTGAACCTCGACTGGCTTTATTTACATTACGTTTTCTGTTTTGGGCAGTGGAAAAACAGCTCTCTTGCAGACTCGGAGATTTCTACTTATTTATCAACTTATAAGTAAATTCGATTCACAGTTATTCCGGTTAACAGTAGTTTTTGTGGAATGGGTGAAAAACGTTAATAGAGGGACTACTGTATACACTGAAATCTTGCCCAGCGCATGTTTTTATCGCAAATTTGACCATTCACGCCAAATTTATCGAGGTTTAGTTTGCCGATCTCGCCCCATTTGGCTCGATCATTACGCGGTTGACCGTGAGATTCCTGTACAGCACACATCGCAAAGTAGTACTGTAAAGGTACTCTTAACTGTACGACTCATGATGATGCGGCCGCCGAAGAATACACACAGTGCCGTCTCTACACAATTGGAAACCTCATTTGCCAGACGAGGCTCTAAAGAAAGCTGTCTCGGGTGTGGACCAATCAATTTCAAGGACAGTGCATACATTATCAGAGTTGTTGTTTTTTGTTTGCGTTCCGACCGCAGGTATTGTGGTCAATGTAAACATGACTCCTTGTAAAAAAGGTGTCAGTTTTGTTGCCTAATAAAAAGGGTAAAAAAACAATTATCAGTACCGTCTCTGTTGCGTCTCGTCTTCCACGGAGCCCACTGCACGTCGCAGGCCACGCGGTGTTCCCAGTGTCCAGTAAGGAGGCGACGGTGAGGTTAGGCCGTCTGCGATTATTCTTAACTAAATTACTTTTTTTCCATTATTTACATTTACTGTAAAACTGAAAATATAATTAACACTGTATATTTAAGATAAAAAAATACTTCTCGATTCATGTTTGGGTTTACGTAGAGTAACATGAAACCAAATATTACGAACTGGGAACCAGGTTGCGGAACGCGGATTTGCTGATTGCGGCTATTTTCAAGAACGTAACCCCCATTATGGGCAAGGGTTTGGTAGATATCAAAAATCAAGTTTAGTCATTAATCCTAGAAAACGTAATTTTCATTGCAGTAGTCTCTTGGTTAACAGGGACATCGGTTACCAGTTTTTTAGTTAACATTTCACCTCCCATAGGACCCCAAAGTTTGGACTAACGTTAAAATGTTCATGAACTGGACGTTTACATTATGCATGAAAGCGCCAATTTCGGCCAATCCGAGCGCTCATAAGTGGGGCTGAGCCATGCCTTCAGCCAAACAGCGATTCCCATTTATGAGCATTTAGACCTCGACTGGCTTTATATACATTACGTTTTCTCTTTTGGATGAATGCTTTTAACATGTAATTCCTATGATCAATCAACAGATATTTTGGTTAACTGTAGCTTTGGTGGAATGGATACAAAATTTTAACCGAGGGATTAATCTATCTCATTTCAGAATTCTCATATGTCTGTGTATATAACCCCTTAGAATTCTGAAATGTGCATTGACGTGTATTTATGAACACACACGTGTTGGATGGTAGCAATATGTACACATGCGCGTTGTTGGATGGCAGCATACCTGTTGTATTCAAACCAAGAGGTGTAGCTGGGAATGATGATGTGATGCGTCTGCTGCTCCGCTGCACCATCTTCACCCAGCTCAAGCCTCATTGCTGGGCCCAATTCATCATCCTCCTAAAACAATCACGCACATCTCAGCATTATTCGCATGGCGGTGACTAAAAGGATCAGCGTGGTTGGCTTACGTATGGTGCGAAAGAAGTTCAATGTGCGTATATACAGAGTACACAAACCGATACTGGTAAGAGTACAGAGGATCCTGTAATGGTTTGGGCTGCGTCACTCACAGACCACAGGGATTTTCCAGCAGCGTCCTTCTGGGGCCAGTGGAAGGGACGAGGAAGAGAGGTGGGCCAAGGTTATTTTGCTCGTTTACCCGGGAAAGCGCCAACGAGTCTGAAGACACTTTTTAAGCAGGATCCTGCCAAATAATGTTAAAGTATATTTTCAGCATTGGGATGTTTTGGTCATATTCTTGGGTCTTTCGGTAAAGTCACGTAGATAGGTTCAAATAAAATAACAAAAAACGAAGACATTTTGATCGCAACGCAAGCCGTCATCTTCTGGAAAAGGGGGGTTAGCTTCCAAGGGAAACTGTTTATAAGGGTTTGAAATGGGTGTAGCCCAAATGTCAGCAACCAATGATAATGTAAGTGTTCGGCAGCGAACCCGGCGGTGGTTCATTTTCCACCAATCAAAGGGCTGCCAGGTGAAAATTAGCATGTAAAATAGAGATTAGCGTGTTAATGGAAGATCGCAGCGCCGTAACCAAGGGGTCGGCGCGCGAAGTGACTGTGAAGAAAGCGCAAGTTTGAAATGGGCGTAAAGCAGAAATAACATCGGAAGGTCGTAGGATGGGAACAAAACTCTATTTCCGACCGTCATCACCTAGCCAATAAACTGGAACACATACACCAAGCCCTCAAGATGAATGGATATTCAGACTACACAATCCGTAAAGCTATCACCCCAACCGTTGGGAAAGAACCATCTGAGGACCCAATTAAAACAATCACCTTGCCATACATAGCAGGGGTCACGAAAAAGATTTCCAAAATCATGAGCAAACAAGATCCAGGTTCGATTTAACACTATGTCAAATTCGTGATCTGATCCCATCTGTGAAGGATGTGATCCCTGACATGCAATACCCCGGCGTCTACAAACTAAGCTGTATCTGTGGCAGAAGTTACACTTCCGTGTTCGTGTTCGTGAACATAAGGCAGATCTGAAACACTGTAGGACCAATACCTCGGCCGTGGCTGATTATTTTTTAATGCGGTGGGCTTACACGAAATTGATTTCTCTAAGACAAAGGTACTTAAATTTTGATTTAAAGCTTTCGTGACTGCAGTAATTCATATTCTTAGCTCTTTCGGTAAAGTCACGTTGAAGGGAAACAATAAAATAATAAAATATATATAAAACAATAAAAATTCTCACGACGTTTCGACCATAACGCAAACGGTCATCATCAGGTGTGAAAAACCAACGGCAAGAAACATTTGAAAGAATTGTCGGTCTGCATTTATTTATTTTTAAACGGTGTGTTTATTTACTTATTAAAAATACGTTAGCGCCACGGACAGCGATTTGGAAGTTTATTTAGAAGGACGAGTCCATCTATGTTATGAAAAGAGGAGGGGGGAGACGAAAAATTAATGTATGCTGTCTGAAAGCCACCGTAAGCGTGAACAATCAATTAAGACCTGAAATGGTTTATCAAATCCTTCCAATGATTGCTAAGCCAGAATCCATCTTCTCGGTTGAAATTGTCTCTGTGCTTGTATATGTGGATAGCCTCATGAACGAATCTCTCATGGTAGCCAGATGGCTTACAAAGAACCTCTGTCTTGGAGAAGTCAATGTCATGTGAGCCTACTGAATTATAACAATGATCTGCCACGGCCGAGGTGTTGGTCCTACCGTGTTTAAGGTCTGCTTTGTGTTCACGAATGCGGTCCGAGACATGGCGTTTGGTTTCTCCAATGTAACTACTACCACAGAGGCAACTTAGTTTGTAGACACCAGGGTACTGTATGTCCGGAATCACATCTTTTACAGACGGAACCAGATCACGGATTTTATGTAATGTGTTGAAACGGACCTGGATCTTATGTTTATTCAAGATTCTGGAGATCTTTTTTGTGATCCCCGCAATGTAGGGTAAAGTGATTGTTTTGAAAGGCTCCTCAAGAGGGTCCTTCTTCATGGTTTGAGTGATAGCTTTGCGGATTGTATAGTCGGAGTAACCATTAGCCTTAAGAGCTTGGTGTACGTGCTTGAGTTCACTGCCTATGTGTTCCTGGTCGGATATGCATTGGGCTCTATGGTACAGAGTCTTGATGAGAGAATTCTTCTGTAATGGATGGTGGTGGGAATCCGGTTTCAGATAAGCATCCGTATGGGTAGCTTTCCTGTAGACAGAGTGGCTCATTGAACCATCAGGTCTCTTTTTTATTAGGACATCCAAAAAAAGTAGCTTGCCATCTTTTTCGACTTCCATGGTAAATCTGATGGCTGGGTGTATGGAATTGATGTGGTCGAAGAATTGGTCTAGAGCAGGCCGGCCATGTGGCCAGATGACAAAAGTGTCATCCACGTACCTCTTCCATAAGGTTGGGCGCAGAGTGGCAGTCTGGATGGCGTCAGTCTCAAATTTCTCCATGAAAATGTTAGCTATAACCGGAGATAGGGGGGAGCCCATTGGGGTGCCCTCAGTTTGTTTGTAGAAAGTTCCATTCCAAGTGAAGTATGTATTGGTTAAGCAGTGTCTCACCAGGGGGGGTACCTCAGTGTTTAGTCCTTGATGAACCAAGTCTTCAATGATTGCGATGGTGTCAGGTACAGGAACTTTGGTGGATAAGGAAACTACATCAAAACTGACAAGCAGGTCATCTGGGGACAGGGAAATACCCTTGATTGTCGATACCAGGTGAGTAGAATTTTGTACCGCAGAGGTGGTTTTTCCAGTGAAAGGACGCAGGATTTCAGACAAAAAACGAGCCAGTTTGTAGGTGGGGGAGTTGATAGTAGAGACGATGGGACGAAGGGGTGTATCTATTTTATGTATTTTTGGTAAGCCGTATAATCTTGGTGGCCTGGCAGCAGAAGGTTTCAACGAAAACTGTTTAGATTGATCAATTAATGCGGTTGAATCAGAAATTACTTCGTTGGTTTGTGTGACGAGGCTGTTGGTGGGATCTCTTTTTATTATTGTATAGCTACCATCGTCGAGTAATTCTTTAATTTTGTTGTTATATTCTATTTTATCCATGATGACAGTAGCATTGCCCTTGTCAGCTGAGAGGACGACAATGCCATCCCTCTTTTTAAATTTATATAATTCAAAACGCTCATCTTTGCTGAGGTTGCTAGCTGGCATCTTAGCGTTTTTGAGGGTTGCAGCGATTTCAGATCTTGCTACGTCTGCAGCGATGTGACCCAGGCCCCTGAGAGCAACGTCTACTTGGGCAATTATATCATTAACTGGTATGTGTTTAGGTGTGACTGCAAAGTTTAGACCTTTAGCTAAAACGGATTTCAGACCATCGGAAATATAACTGTTACTGCGATTAATTACGACTTTGTTAACATCTAACTTTATGGTGTGTGGGTCCGGTCTTTTGTTGAACACTGAGGTACCCCCCCTGGTGAGACACTGTTTAACCAATTCATACTTCACTTGGAATGGAACTTTCTACAAACAAACTGAGGGCACCCCAAAGGGCTCCCCCCTATCTCCGGTTGTAGCTAACATTTTCCTGGAGAAATTTGAGACTGACACCATCCAGACTGCCACTCTGCGCCCAACCTTATGGAAGAGGTACGTGGATGACACTTTTGTCATCTGGCCACATGGCCGGCCTGCTCTAGACCAATTCTTCGACCACATCAATTCCATACACCCAGCCATCAGATTTACCATGGAAGTCGAAAAAGATGGCAAGCTACCTTATTTGGATGTCCTAATAAAAAAGAGACCTGATGGTTCAATGAGCCACTCTGTCTACAGGAAAGCTACCCATACGGATGCTTATCTGAAACCGGATTCCCACCACCATCCATCACAGAATAATTCTCTCATCAAGACTCTGTACCATAGAGCCCAATGCATATCCGACCAGGAACACATAAGCAGTGAACTCAAGCACATACACCAAGCTCTTAAGGCTAATGGTTACTCCGACTATACAATCCGCAAAGCTATCACTCAAACCATGAAGAAGGACCCTCTTGAGGAGCCTTTCAAAACCATCACTTTACCCTACATTGCGGGGATCACAAAAAAGATCTCCAAAATCTTGAATAAACATAAGATCCAGGTCCGTTTCAACACATTACATAAAATCCGTGATCTGGTTCCGTCTGTAAAAGATGTGATTCCGGACATACAGTACCCTGGTGTATACAAACTAAGTTGCCTCTTTGGTAGTAGTTACATTGAAGAAACCAAACGCCATGTCTCGGACCGCATTCGTGAACACAAAGCAGACCTTAAACACGGTAGGACCAACACCTCGGCCGTGGCAGATCATTGTTATAATTCAGTAGGCTCACATGACATTGACTTCTCCAAGACAGAGGTTCTTTGTAAGCCATCTGGCTACCATGAGAGATTCGTTCATGAGGCTATCCACATATACAAGCACAGAGACAATTTCAACCGAGAAGATGGATTCTGGCTTAGCAATCATTGGAAGGATTTGATAAACCATTTCAGGTCTTAATTGATTGTTCACGCTTACGGTGGTTTTCAGACAGCATACATTAATTTTTCGTCTCCCCCCTCCTCTTTTCATAACATAGATGGACTCGTCCTTCTAAATAAACTTCCAAATCGGTGCCCGTGGCGCTAACGTATTTTTAATAAGTAAATAAACACCGTTTAAAAATAAATAAATGCAGACCGACACTTCTTTCAAATGTTTCTTGCCGTTGGTTTTTCACACATGATGATGACCGTTTGCGTTATGGTCGAAACGTCGTGAGAATTTGTATTGTTTTATATATATTTTATTATTTTATTGTTTCCCTTCAACGTGACTTTACCGAAAGAGCTAAGAAGACGAAGGTACTTTGCAAGCCCACTGGCTATCAACAAGGATTCGTTCATGAAGCCATCCATATATATATAGACATAGACACAATTTCAACCGAGAAGATAGGTACAAACTGAGCAATCATTGGAAGGATGTTATCAACCAGTTTAAGTCATAATTGGCTATGATGTTCCCATCCTACCACCTTCCGATGTTATTTGTGCTTTACGCCCATTTCAAACTTGCGCTTTCTTCAGTCACTTCGCGCGCTGACCCCTTGGTTGCGGCGCTTCCATCTTCCATTAACATGCTAATCTCTACTCTTTGCAAAGAGAGATTAGCATTGATTTGAAGCTTTCGTGACTGCAGGAATCCATACTCTTTGGTTCTTTCGGTAAAGTCACGTAGGTATAAAATAAAACATGGCGTTTCGGGCGCAACATAAGCGTCCGTCATCAAAGACCCAAGAATATGAATTCCTGCAGTCAATTAAAGCTTTAAGTCATGTTTTGGTCTATAGCAGTTACATTGTATGGGGGGGGGGAGGGGTTATTTGCTATGGGAGGAAACTGGAGGACCTGGAGGAAATAAATATAGAACAGGGGGAGAACAGAGAAATTCCATAACAAAGTGTTACCACTGCACCACCAGAAGCATAACACTAAACTGTGATTAAGTGGGTGTTTGGTGTTATGAAAGATAACCCGATTGTATCACTTCAAGTGATAAAATACAGATGCAGAACATTCACAGAATGTGAAGCTTTACATTCAACCAAGATTTGTACACAAACGGCTACACAGTGACAATGCAGAACTATTTTCATTTCACGCACCCTTGCGGCCCATGGGCTGATTTATCCACATTTTTAAATCACCAGGAGCAACAGTGGAGATTGATATAAACTGAAGCGCAGATGCAGCTCACAATGGGCAGCAGCAGCCAGCAGCAGCAGCCAGCAGCAGCCAGCAGCAGCCAGCAGACAACAGCAGCAGACAACAGCAGCAGACAACAGCAGCAGCAGTCAGCAGCAGCAGATCTGATGAATGTGGCCCCAGCACATCCACTGTCCTCCACCACAACTTCCTAAGTTTTTTTTAATTAAATGACCATTTGGAAACAATATTGAACTGGCGTGGTATGTGACTCGGGTCAGTGACTGATGTACCACACGTACGCTATGAAATTCTTGAACCGAGGAGCCGCCGAGAACCGGTTGTGGTGTGACGGGCGTGAGCTTCCAGATCTCATCCACCCATTGAAAGAGACCAAGATCCAAATGATCCAACAGAACACCATCTGAAACTCTCCGAATCCATTCCATGTGTAGAAGAAGTCAAAATCTAATGGCTGGACTGCTGCCTCTGATATACTTTATTTATTTCTTGTTTATTTAAGGGGCGCCACAGTGGTGTGATGTTATCTTCCTCGTCTGGTAGTCAGGAGATTGTGGATTTGATCCTGACCCTGACACCTGTATATTTGGAGTTTGCATGTCCACCCCGTGGTCCCATAGGTTGAGGGGTTATTCCCTCTATCGCAGCTAAAAGGGGCAAAGATGGCACGAGGAGTTTCACCAGTCCTGGCCTATCACCGAGTAATCGTTAACGTAAAAATGTTGATTAAAATCGGAGAGTCATACTCCGTGAACGTTCCTTGTCGCATGTCGCTGATATGAGTCTACCGAGTCACTAGACCCACTTTTTTCCACGCAGGTTTATTTGTTTCTATTAAAAAAAACCTAATGATGCAAAGAACACTGGGAATAAAGTACCAACTTAGCCAAGAGCATAACAGAGAGTTAGTAGCATATCTGACCTTGGCTCCAAGATCAGTATTTTCATCTTCTTGTTCATCTGTTGAAGAAAAAAAACACGCAATACATTTTAAAGTAATTTTCACTGTATTTATCCAGTCACGAAACTCTTTTTCAGGAGGCCCCTGCTTCATCGTGTTCATATTTTGAAGATGTAAGTGTTTATTATACAAGTGGGAGGGAACCGGAGCACCCGCAGAAAACCCACGTGCGCGCGTAAGGGGGCAACGCTCTATCCCCGTACAGATAGAAGCAGATAGTGATTAGCTCACACTTGCTACTCTGCCTTCTCCTGGCAAGCCAGGGTACGGCACCTCGACGCCCACCGGAAGGGAGTTTCAATACGTTTGTGCGGTGATCCACCAACCCTCGCTGTTGCCTCCAGAGTGCTGGATTGCACAGGCTCGGCATTTGGGAAGCACCAACATGTGCAATATACTCAATAAAAAGTATTAAATAACACGAATTAAAGGGAATATACATTAACAGCGATGGACAAGGGCAAACAAAATAATAACTCGGTCCATTTGGCTTTTACACAGACAGCGGCGCTGATGAATGTGGTGAGTTTTTTGGGCAATTTACTACTTTTGAGTTTATAAAGTATAGACAATTATCAGCAGCTGCACTGTCAAACCATCGACTTCATTCACACTGGCTCCGTGATGAATGCCGACCCGGGGGTTCTCAAACAACAGAAACACGCTTTGGCAACTTGAGGTTGGCATAAAATGGCAACAATATTTGTACAAATGTTTTTTTAATCTGATGATCCTCGCTGTTTTGTGTTAAAGATACTCACCTAAATCTGTCATGACACCGCCTTTAATAGGAGCCACTTCTGTGTCTTTCTTTGTATAAACTGCAAAGTAAAACAACGACACCTTAATCACTGCAAACGTTTAGAAAGATCTTTAAAAACTAAGGCACATGAAATTACATTCCACATTTCAAGCATGCTTTCCAAGCAATATACAAAGTTTGGCCTTGAAGGCATCAGGAAGACTCGACATTTTATTAACTTAGTATGCAATACCTTACACAGTCATTGGTATTGCAAGTCAAATTGTGTGGGGCTGGGTGGGGGGTGGGAGGGATGGGGCTGGGTGGAGAGGGGCTGGTCACCACATGGTGCCCTTATAAAACTAAACATTTAACCTACTCACGCCGGCTTGTGCCCGCCCTCACAGTCGCGCATATTTGCGGAATACACCACGCCGCCGTTGACCCTGACCATTGACCGAGCAAACCCAACGTTCCTACCAGCTCCATCCGCAGGAATGTGTTTTTTGAGATGGCCTGTGTATGAACAATGCACACTGCAGCTGAAATGTTTTTAAAAGATTTAACAATATAAATAAAGTTATTTGATTGGAAAGAGGTTGGGTTGACAAAGAAACAAGACAGGATTGCGGATGGAGAAAGAGTTGACTCAGCAGTTGAAGCGGTGACTTCATGGGGGAATAAATGTTGCAGATGCAATGATTGACAAAACGTGCAACAAAAAGGGATGAATAATTAATTGGCTTAAGTAAAATAAGTTTTAATTTACGAATGGATGTCAAAGTTTTGTAGACATAAGTGAATGGAACACTCATGGGGTGAGTGCAGGAAAGCTTAGATTGAGATTATTATAAGAGAATACTGCGGTGTGCATTAACCACAAAATACAAGCAGTCTGCTTCATAGTGGACATTAAAGATCCCATGCCAACAATCCCAAGAGCTGCCATTGTGTGCCAGCATCATGGTCCAAATTTGGCAAATTGAAAAATATTACAAATAAATTACTCAAATCGGATTTTATATATATAGCAATCACCATCACCTACTACGAAACATTGGCAGCAATCGCCTGAAAAATGTCATGAGAATCGAGAGAGGCTTTCTGGGTAAGCAAGTGTTAAGGATAGAGAAATGTCTCATTATTTCTTTGCTCGTCTACCCAAAAAAACCTCAAGTCCTGCAAAGATTTCACAAACCGGGGGCGATATTGTTACATGTAACCCCAATTAAAAAATTTGCAGGCATGTATGTCCGTATTTTGAACTTTTTTCACACCGTACATAGACAACCATGCTAATCGGAGGTGCGGGGGAAGGACAACAAACTAACACAAAAAAATCAGTTTTAAAGAAATTCGTTTTCAATAAAAAAAATTCAGCATTGAGAGTATACCGGATAACCTGGGAGGAAACCCATGCCGAACAGGGGGAAAATAATACACAAACTTCACACAGATAGGTGCCCAAGTCGGGCATTTTGTTTTGATGCATAACCAAAAGTACCACTGCACCCTTACGCTCAGATGTGCGCACAGACGGCTAGCAATGGGGCACCCACCATTCTTGGGCAGCTGAACCTCGGTCATGTTGGGCACGTGTAGAGGCTCCTCCATGTCCTTCGTAAGGTCCTCCTCCTCTTCCTCCTCGTCCTTGCGCCCATGCCTCTTTCCTAATGGCTCACCCATCGCATGCCTCCTGTGGGACCCAGTGTCAGGGGTCGGGTGCAAACTGCACTCTCAACGCTTAGTTTTGTGTCCTGGGAGCGGTAATGAGATTGGATTGGCCGTCTGCTTCAAAGTGGATGTTAGAAGTTCTGTGACGTCATTCGGAAAGTGTAGGCCATTGTGGGCCAGCATCACGATCCACATCTTTTTAAATGTATAACTCGATTGGGATTACTCTCTTAGTCATGAAAGCTTAGAATCTAGTTCGATTGGGATTGCATATAGCAGTGGCATGATGTTAACTACCTCGCCTGTTATATTCTGACCCTAACGCCTGTATACGTGGAGTTTGCATGTTCTTCCCATGGTCGCGTACAATTTTTCTCCGGGTCCTCCGGGTTTTCTCTCCACATTTAGAAACATGCATTTAGATTGTTTAAATTATTTGGCTGCTACAAAATTACACATGATAAGCCACTTCGTTGAGCTATCATTTGTTGCCAGGTCGCTTCTGAAAAAAAGATAATAGCTCAGTCGGCTTTACCTGGTAAAATAAAAATTTGCTTCGTTTTATTTGTATTTTTTTGGTGATTTGTTTACCTTTCCTAGACGTTGCACTCCTACCGTGTTTTTTTACTGCTTGTTGTTGTTGTAAGATTCTGACCCAGTGCCCCTACTGGACATGTCAAAAAAACCTTTTTAGCTCATCAGATTTCTCCATTATAAATATTCTGATTCTGATATTGCCCTGTACTGCAAAACTACTTAAGACCGTCTGTGAAACTTAGCGCCTTTGTGACAGCCTTGCACGATAAGAATGGCATGAATACAAAATGTACTAAATTACTCTTGTTATTAAGTCTGCGTGTATAGCTACCCCTTGCAGCTATGTAAGGGGTGCCAGGGTGGTAGGATGTTAGCTACCTCGCCTGGTATACAGAAGGTTGTGGGTTCGATCCCAACCCTGACGCCTGTATATTTGGAGTTTGCATGTTTTCCCCGTGGTCGTGTGGATTTTTCTCTGGGTCCCCCAATTTTTTCCTCCACATTTAGACTCAACGCTACGCGTTTAGAGTATTTGGCTGCAATACATTTCCACATGTGATCAGCCACTTCGTTGAGCTTTAACTTGTTATGGCCGGGTCGCTTTTCAAAAAGAAGCTAATAACTCAGTGGAATAAAAACATTGTTTATAATTTTCCAAATAGTTAATAGTTTGGGGTGCGTGTGACTTGCCTCTTCTTGGAATTTGGCTTTTTTCTGGGCTCTGTGGGCGAGGGGGAGTGCCTCCGCCTCCGAGACAAACCCTTTTCCTTCTTCTCTTTCTTTTCTGTGTCGGGAACAACTGCGGTCTGCAATCGTACAGAGGTGGGCATATATTTACTCAAGACACGTATACACGAGCAGACACGCAGATGGACAGACACAAATGTATAATTGTATACAGGCGTACGCTTTGGCTCTTCGTTAAAGTCATATAGTATAAAATAAAAAAAATAAATCACGACGTTTCGATCGCAACACAAGCGACCGTCATCAGGTGGAACAGATACAGCAGAACTGCTGACATAGGAGAAAGAGGTGCTGCAACAAGAGTTTATATCGGATTTTGGTGGGCTCAACCCAATGGTAAGTGGGAGGAGCTAGAAAAGGAATGTGTACATAAATGTAAATGTGAGAGATTAGCATGTCAATGTGAGAAAGTCCCCAGCCACTGGAGGTGGTGGGAATCCTGTGCCTAGGCTGCCTCACCCAAGGGTAAGTGTGCAGAGCTAGAGAAGGAATTTGTACGTAAATGTAAATGTGAGAGAAAAACTTGAAATCTAGATTGTATACAGGCGGTCTCTGGTTTATGACGGTCCGATTTAAAACGCTTGTATTACGGCACCATGAATAGATTTACGATGCGAGAACTTTATTTACAACGCATCTTCCGACGTGACTCAGAACGCATTTGAACAAAGTCAGTCTGGTTTCCGATGTGATTTGGCATGGAGCTTCAGTTATTCTTAAGTGTTGCTGAATTTTACCGATTGAATAAGCCCTCTTAAATATGATTGATAAAAGGAAAGAACAAATCAGCAAGTTATGTTTCAAACGTTTGTACCGTCTATGGGAAAATAGGGTCCGATTTACGACGACGGGGTTCTTGGGAACACATCGTGACGTCATAAAAGCGGGGACCACCTGTATAAGTATAATCATATGAAATAAATACATTTGGACATTGTGACGTCGTAAAAGCGGGGACCACCTGTATAAGTATAATCATATGAAATAAATACATTTGGACATAGTTTGACTCTTGTGTGTAATGGCCTCTACTTAGATGGCTGAGGCAGGACATCAAGGGGATGATGGTCGATGGGAAAAAATGCACAAAGCAGCAGGAAGAGAAACACGTGGACTTCTTAAGGACATCATAGCGACTGTACAGGAAAGCAGCCTTAGGCAGGACATTGAGGGTTCATGCCCAATGGGCAAATCTGTGATGGAGTGGCAGCCAAAGGAAGGAAAGGTCGGAGAGGCCAACCACTATACTCATCCAGAGTGGGTGAGTGTGGTGCTTGCCCTCTCAACATCTCTCGCTCCTGAATGGGTTAACCTCATTGCAGAGATATGCTCATTCAGGAAACGAGTTAAATTGTGGCATCGGAGGTCATCATCCAACAGTGGATAAAACATGGACGATGATGACAAACTTAAATTGTCAGTAACATCATTTCAGTAACTTCCATTGCAGAGTCGAGTAAGTACTCATTATGAGCAAAAGGAAACAGAAAATTTAATCGATGAGCTATGCATTCCCCAACACCTTACAGGTAGGTAAAAGCCATGACTAAAATATTGTTTACTATTCAATTCGCAAACAGTATTGCGCAGTCTGGCGGACAAAACGTGGTATTGCACGATGGGTAAACAGTGAAAGGGTATTCTATGGTTCTTTTAGTAAAGTCACGTAGATAGAAAAAATAACAATAAAATAATACAAATAAAGTGAATAAAATAATAATAAAATATCACGACGTTTCGATCGCCTGATGACGACCGCTTTTGTTGAGATCGAAACGTCGTAATATTTTTATTTTTGATTCACTTTCTTTTCATCTTTAGTTTTATTATTTAATTGGTTTTTTTATCTACGTGACTTTACCGAAAGAACCAAAGAATATAAATTCCTGAAGTCACGAAAGTTTTAAGTCAAAAAGTGAAAGGGTAGCGGAGGGCAAAGCTCAGAGAGACTTCAAGTCACTCTTGCTATGCGCGTCTATTAACTAGTACAGTGAGGGAAAAAAGTATTTGATCCCCTGCTGATTTTGTACGTTTGCCCACTGACAAAGAAATGGTCAGTCTATAATTTTAATGGTGGGTTTATTTGAACAGTGAGAGACAGAAAAACAACAAAAACATCCAGAAAAAACGCATGTCAAAAATGTTATTAATTGATTTGCATTTTAATGAGGGAAATAAGTACTTGACCTCTCTGCAAAACATGACTTAGTACACTTGGTGGCAAAACCCTTGTTGGCAATCACAGAGATCAGACGTTTCTTGAAGTTGGCCACCAGGTTTGCACACATCTCAGGAGGGATTTTGTCCCACTCCTCTTTGCAGATCTTCTCCAAGTCATTAAGGTTTCGAGGCTGACGTTTGGCAACTCGAACCTTCAGCTCCCTCCACAGATTTTCTATGGGATTAAGGTCTGGAGACTGGCTAGGCCACTCCAGCACCTTAATGTGCTTCTTCTTGAGCCACTCCTTTGTTGCCTTGGTCGTGTGTTTTGGGTCATTGTCATGCTGGAATACCCATCCACGACCCATTTTCAATGCCCTGGCTGAGGAAAGGAGGTTCTCACCCAAGATTTGATGGTACATGGCCCTGTCCATTGTCCCTTTGATGCGGTGAAGTTGTCCTGTCCCCTTAGAAAAACACCGCCAAAGCATAATGTTTCCACCTCCATGTTTGACCGTGGGGATAGTGTTCTTGGGGTCATAGGCAGCATTTCTCCTCCTCCAAACACGGCGAGTTGAGCTGATGCCAAAAGAGTTCAATTTTGGTCTCATCTGACCACAACACTTTCACCCAGTTGTCCTCTGAATCATTCAGATGTTCATTAGCAAACTTCAGACGGACATGTATATGTACTTTCTTGAGCAGGGGGACCTTGCGGGCGCTGCAGGATTTCAGTCCTTCACAGCGTAGTGTGTTACCAATTGTTTTCTTGGTTACTATGGTCCCAGCTACCTTGAGATAATTGACAAGATCCTCCCGTGTAGTTCTGGGCTGATTCCTCACCGTTCTCATGATCATTGCAACTCCACGAGGTGAGATCTTGCATGGAGCCCCAGGCCGAGGGAGATTGACAGTTCTTTTGTGTTTCTTCCATTAGCAAATGGTCTTGTAGCCCATTCCAGCCTTGTGTAGGTCTACAATCTTGTCCCTGACATCCTTGGAGAGCTCTTTGGTCTTGGCCATAGTGGAGAGTTTGGAATCTGATTGATTGATTGCTTCTGTGGACAGGTGTCTTTTATACAGGTAAGACGCTGAGATTAGGAGCACTCCCTTTAAGAGTGTGCTCCTAATCTCAGCTCGTTACCTGGGAACCAGAAATCTTTCTGATTGAGAGGGGGTCAAATACTTATTTCCCTCATTAAAATGCAAATCAATTTAGAACATTTTTGATAAGCACTTTTCTGGATTTTGTTGTTGTTATTCTGTCTCTCACTGTTCAAATAAACCTACCATTAAAATTATAGACTGATCATTTCTTTGTCAGTGGGCAAACGTACAAAATCAGCAGGGGATCAAATACTTTTTTCCCTCACTGTATACACAAGACACTCTTTGTGTCTTTCGGTAAAGTCACGTAGATAGAATAATAATAAAATAAGAATTAAAAAATCACGACGTTTCGATCGCAACACAAGCAATCGTCTTCAGGTGAAAAAAATACAGCAGGTGGACTGCTGAGGCAGGAAGAAATATAGCGAGAGAGCTACTGCAGCCATCGGTTATAAAGGTTTGAGATGGGTACCACCTAAGGGTAAGTGGGTGGGGCTAGAGATGTAATTTGCAAGTAAGTGCAAGATCACAGAGCTAGGTATACCTCGGCCATTGTATTGCTAGAGATTAGCATGCGAATCTGTTAATGTAATCCCACGGTTACGGTACTGAAGAAGCCATTGTATTGCGCGGGATTAAAGATTAGCATGTCAATGTGAGAACAGCGGCTGTGTTAATGAGAGAGATTCAACCTATTAAACAAGTGCCACCGCGGCATCGAGGAAAAGGGAGCAGCAGCTATGTTAGTGAGACATTTAGCCTGTTAATGTAAAGACATTTAACAAGGTAATGTAAAATTTTGATTTAAAGCTTTCATGACTGCAGGGATTAATATTCTTGGTTCTTTAAGTAAAGTCAGGTAGAAGGGAAACAATGAAATAAAAAATATATAAAACAATAAAATTATTTTCTAGATTTGAAGCTTTCGTGACTGCAAGGATCCATACTCTTTGGTTCTATTCGGTAAAGTCACGTAGGTAAAAAATAAAATAACAAAAAATCATGACGTTTCGGCCACAACACAAGCGGCCTTCATCAGGTGAAGGGACCAACCTGTCCAGTGGACAGCGTTGGAGTGAAACAAGCTAAGCGCTGGTCGCCTCCTTTTAAGCTGTGAGGGGGTAAACAGCAAATTCCTTGAAAAGGAAATTAGCGTAAAACACGCCACTAACAACGCTTGGAATTAGCACAAGATGATAATACACCACCCTGGAAGTTTGGAGTGCCACTACTAGAATAAATATACTGTACCACTGAAAATTAGTTTAATGTTTGGTTCGATTTAGAACATCTTTCCAATGGTTGCTTAATTTGAAACTATCTTCTCGGTTGAAATTGTGTCTGTTTGTAAATCTGAATTGCCTCGTGGACAAATCTCTGATGATAACCTGTCGGTTTGCAAAGGACCTTGGTATCGGAGAAAATTATATCGTGATCACCCACAGCGTTGTAACAATGATCAGCTACGGCAGAAGAATTCGTTCTGCCGCGTTTCAAATCTGATTTGTACTCACGAATTCGGTCAGAGACATGTCGTTTCGTCTCCCCGATATAGCAATCACCGCAGGTACAACTCAATTTGTAAACCCAATTTCAACCGAGAAGATGGTTTCAAATTAAGCAACCATTGGAAAGATGTTCTAAATCGAACTAAACATTAAACTAATTTTCATTGATACAGTATATGTTTTCAAGTAGTGATACCCCAAATTTTCGCAGCACAGGCTGGTGCACTGCCGGTGCCGATCACTGTGCTACACCTTTCATCATGATAAGTCCGCCAATCAAA